CATCACACGGTTGGAAACGAGTTGTTGTCATAAGACATGAGGCATGAGAGATCATGAGAATGATCATAACATCTCTGCAGGTTGAGGCGTATGCAGCATATACTGGCATATACCCTTGACAATCCTTGACACTGGCTTTTCAGCTGTGTTTCCAAAACCCTGTCAGACTGGGTCTAGCTCTGCCGCTGGCTTTCTTTCTTTCGCTCCACTAAGCGTTGATCAGAGCGCAGAACTCTTCGAAATCGATGGCACCATCCTGGTGAGGCAACACACCATTTTGGTGAGGCAACATGCTGGTGTACAAATTGTGTACAAAAAAATGTGGAAAAGGAGGTGTCTCTTAAGGAGGTGTCTTCTACTGCACGAATTTCAGCAAACAGTTCTGCATCTCATGCTGCACAAAGAGCAAAGAGCAAACACGCTGTCCAAAGAGCACTCCTGAGCCAGCTTGAACCTCATACCTACAGGTCAAAGACCTCATATTTTCTGGAGTTGATCATGCAAAAACCCTACTCAATGAGGTAAAGGGCCTGGTTTAATTGACTGCGTCTTTGGACACCTGGACGCCTATAGGGTACAGTATCCACTTTCTCACCTGCAATCAGCACCCCTTCTAAAGGACAAGGAGGGCATCTTCCGGGGCCCGAGTGGTGAGAGGGCATCTTCCAGACTTCTCAATCTAAAAACAACCGTTTCCTTTTGCCCATGTCTTCAGATATTTGCCCTATGGTCCGATCATGGTCACATTGTGACATTGGTGTTCTTGTGACATTGTGACATTGGTGCCCAGATCCGGCTTCTGCAACCCTTTTTGTGTTTCATCCCCTTTCACTTCACAACACTCCCACCCAGCCGACGCTGGCGACCCCGAAGAACTGTCCAGGCCTGTCCCACATCTGCCTCGCGGAAGGCCTCCAGCTTGGAGGCAGGCCTGCCACACACCACTGGAAACCACTGGGTACCATGGAATAGGTCAAGATTCACAACAGCCGAGTCCGGTGACTAGGGGCAAGTGTCTAACCCCCGAGGCCAGTTCATGGCATAGCTTTTGACTCATTTGAATTGTAAATTTTGAGAAGTCAAAAGTCCTTCATTGCGGTGCACAGACTGGCGGCCATGACAGTCTCCGTGAGACTTAGTGTATATAAGTTGACCTTTGAAGTGGTTGTCACAGGTGGTTGTGCACTTTCTGCTTTAGCAGTTGCAAGTCGATGGAAACATGGTAACATATCATCAGAAGTGTCCACCTAAGGGGGAAGCCTGGAAGCTGCCGCACCCCAAATGGGCGCCACTGAGCTCGGTGACTGGCCCGAGAAAGACGCAAACTGAATGAGATCGGCGTTCTTGGACTGCGACTTCGACGGAATTGACTTCGACGGAATAGATTTTGTACATGCAAAGAGGTGGAAAATACGCCATTGACAGGGTCCTTCATAGTTTATGTAGTGGTGGATTTCATGTTTTATTCACCACCTTTAACTTTATCTTTAATGTCTATTCTAGAGCTATATTGCAACATAAAGTCGAAAGTAGATTGGACATACATTCAGAAACAGTATTTTTATGGTTCCTAAGCCTTTCTATCTGGTGTTATCTATTTCATTTATTTTAGCCTCAAAATATCCAAATGAATGTTATTTATATCAACCCCAAATAGAAATACAATTGTATTTTACATTGGACTGGCAAGTTAAAAATAACAAATTGTATACATATATATATACATAACTATTATCATTATGTTCATTATCAATGTATATATATATAGTTATTACTACCAATTTGTACGTTGCATCTTACTGTCAATGTAAAAAAGAAAGCAATAGGCAATAGATATCAATAGAGTCTTGAACCTAATGATCTTTGGCGAGTCCATCATTTGTCTTTTTTTCCATCTATAGTCTATGGCTGCTATAATCTGAGTTCAACCGCCAGTCAAGGATTTATTGGTTTTAATCGGCTATAGAATGAAGTGGCAGATTAATTTCCAGTGCGTTCTCAGTCTAGTGCGTATTTAGGCCCTTTAGGCAGATTGAAGGAAAGAACATGCTCCACCGTTCACCAATCTCCGAAAAGGCTCACCCTGAAATCCGCCGAGATCGCACAGAAATCCGACATCCTCCACGCTCCAGCTCGTGGTCGCCACTCGTCAAGCTCCCCGGCCCGGCGTTCTTCAGCACCTCCGACAGCGCCGCCAGAGAGATCTTGCCTCGTCGACTCGTGGACGTCCGACAGCGCCCGGAGACCCCGTCTGGTGTGCATCGAGACACCCGATGTGGACAGCGTCTCAAGTTGAGTGGTTTCATCCAGCAATGAAGAATTCGAAGAATAATGTAGACTCTTGATGAATGAACCCCCCATATGAAGAGGATGTCCAATTCAAACGGGTCGGTTTATGTACTTCAAGAGTCCACATGACCATGCAGGAAAGACCAGCAACCCCCAGGGTCCGATCTTACGGGGCAAATATCGTGTTGTCCAAGCGTTCCATAGAATTGGGGTCGATCCGATCTATCCCGGGCCCAGTGGATGATGATGCTTCAGTTGCAGGCCGACCGTTCGAAAATAGCATAACAATTGTTCTTTACTGACTGTTACAGGTCATCGGCCAGATCCGACATAGACCATCAGAACGACCATCATTACGACCATCATCCCCGACCGTCCCATACCGTCCCATGATCCCGAAGTCCTCACCCGAAGCTCGATGGGAACCGGTTTCATCGTGACCGTTCAAAGCGGCGTCTCCGCCCGTCTGCAGCGGTCCGCCCCGCCTTCCTGTCGCACGTCAAAGCGGCGGAAGGCCGCCAACAGCTCAGCCTTTCGGAAGCCCTGCAAGCTTAGGAGGGCCTCGACGTAGCGTGGCTTTGGGTGCGTGCATTGGCTGGTTACCCTGGAGAAACGGACCATGGACCAATGCCTCGGCAACACTTCTTTTCAGTCAGCTTCTACTAGGTTGGAGGCCTCTGAGGTTGGCCTTTTCCAGTTTGCAGTTGCTTGGCTTTGACCTGTGGTGTGTGCATTTTTCATGTCAAGCAAACGGTATGATCTTGGGGTGATTGGTTTTGACGCGAAACCGGTGGTAGAATGAGAAGGGCTCGTCTGCACGCAAATCTCCGTACAAGTTCGCAAGCCCGGGCTGATAACCCCCCCTGATCAACTGCGTGTTTGGAGGCTTCACCAACTTCGGTGCATTCCAAAATACAGGAACTTCCTCCTTCAAAAACAAATGCGGCTGGGTGGTTTTACCCTATGTTTGTGGGAAAGACCCATGTAGATCACTTGATTTGCATGCTTTGGGAGTGTGTTGTGTGGTCCTTACCCAAAAGAACAATTTAACAAACGTCGTTTCACCTTGTTGGGGTAAATGCATTCAATTTGCCATAAAAATAACTAGACATCCAAAACAATACTACAACAACAACATTCAGAGCTTGAAGAGATACGGTTGCTGTTTTCAAGTCGTCACCTGAAACGTTGGATGTCACTGGGGGTTGAACCAGCTAAGGAAAAAAACACACACACACTGTCAAAACAATTGAAAACGAATTGAAAACCACATGAAACAACCAAGCCGTTCAATCGGAGAAGCTGCTTGGGGTGCCCTGCCGCTGTGAAGTCTGTGCAGGAGATCTTCTCCTCGGGATGGGGAAGGTGCACTTTTTTTGGAAGGGAAGGCGAATGCCCTCCTAAGGTCTATGATTCTATGATGGTGAATGTCATCTATCTGCGGTTTGCTTCTTTCAAGTACCTCAAAACCAAGGTGACAGGAAAAAAAAACACAACCATGTGCTAGATAATTACTAAACACCACGATGGTGGGGATGACTTTCATCTCTTGGGGCCACTGATCATCAAACTATGCTGCTAGGGATGCACCCTCTTGGTCGCAACCAGCCTGAGTACCTGCCCAAAAACCAAGGAAGGAGGTGGGCCGAGGACCTCCATGGCTCCCTCCAGCCATCCCACACTCCACAGGCAAATACTGGGCAGCCAGTCACGGTGTCTCAATAGAAACACCAGAATATCAAGAACAGTGTCTCAACAAGTGTGCATGAACATTATTTACGAGTCTCAGGTTACCCCAATCGAACCCACATGGAAGGAGGAAGGCAAAAACAGGTGACACTAACTAACCTGCCCCAACCATCTTCAGACCTAAGAACCGTTCTCAGCAGTGCCCTAAATAAACGACAAAGCAAGAGTATCGAGAAGGTCTCACTCTCCCCCAATCCACATTGAAGGAGGAAGGAAACAGCAGGTGACGGCTCCGCCCCTGGCCCATCTTCCATCTTCAGGGGAGACCGAACACATGGTGCCTATAACAATAAAGCAACATCAACAAGTTGAGGTAAGCATGCTCCCTATCCTCCACATATGCCCCCTTTTCTGTCTGATGCTCGTCGATCCAGTGACTGGTGCTGCACCGTGGTCGCTTTCCAGTTTGGGGGATTCAGACTCCAGACCAGGAAAAAAACATGCACAGGCCTCACGGGGAAGAAAAAAATATGCGTTATATAACATGTATCTTCCAGAAATTCCCAGTCATGTTTTCACAAAGCGTGAGGTGAAGAACCCGTGGAGGATGCCCTTATCATGTGTGTGGTTTCACTCATTCTGTGATACAACACGATCGTCTCATGAGCGAGCATGACTCGCTTCCAACCAACCCATATGGGTGGGTCAAAACCAGGAGACCTTAATTGCCTGGGAGGTCACCAGGTTTTGACCCATCCATTATATATATATATGGATATATACAGTAATATATAGGAATATATATATAGGATCTGTAATGCAACAAGACCATCCCAAAACATCCAGCTCTTGCATTGCCTAGGCAGCCGGAGATCAGCACCTCCCAGACCTCCCAGACCTGGAAAACCCTGCGATCCCGTCCCTCCTCTTCGCACCAGGCCGTGCGAAGGGGAGGATCATCTTCACTCACCCAGCGTCGGCGAAGAGCTCGGGCGGCAGGATCCGTGCCAGGTCAAGGGCCGTCACATGGGCAAACCTTGGTGCGCTCCGGGCGCTCCGGGGTGGAACCAAAAAGACAGAGGCTCCAGGTGTTCTTTCCACTCCACCATGGTTTACAACATGATGACTACCATCATGGTCATCCGTGTTCCAAGGCCAAGAACGCGAGTCTGACAAACCCACGGTGATCATGTCATGAGGTGTGTATCTCTGTCACAAGCCCTGTCGACAAATCCAGCGCCTGTCGGTACGAGGTACGCTTCATGTCCTCCCTAAGTGGCCAAGCACCGCGAGCAACGCAGGGGATCTCCACCTCCACCCCTTCCCCCGCACCGAATCTTGGCGCCTGGACATCGGTTCCGAACTCGGCCGCCGCCCTTCGGCGGTCCGCCGCGGGGTCTCGGCACCCGGGTGGCTCCGGGGACCCGAGTTCTGCAGGTCTTGGAGGGTCTCGGAGGCCCCCCCCAAATGAGTTTACTCCGGAGCCACCCCTTCGGCCGTTTCCTACCTATGGGGCCGCTGGTGCGCATGGCACCAGCGGCCCGCTGGTGCTAGGTCACAAGAATTGCCACAGGCATTCCGTGGCTGCGACGGGGCTGTGCATGGCACGAATGGCTTCACATCAGGCATTGCGCCGGATTGATCCGGCCTTGAGAAACTCGTGCCAATTTAAAACTGTGGTTGGGTCATGTTGGCTCCAGAACAACAAGAAGAAGCCTCCAGGCCATCGTCCACATCACCTACCCTCAATGTATCACGTCATTCCCCTACAATGCCAAGACCCCGTAAAACCTGGTCCTTTACCTCAGTAAGTATTGGTTTTGTATGACCATCTCCAGTAAAATGAGGTCTTTGACTTGTATAGGGTTCCATGTCATTCTCATGTCTTGATCGGTCGCTCCATCGACACATCTGCCGACCACATTCGCCAACCACGTCGTCAGAAACCATCGCGCCGACTCTGTGACGGTCTCACAGCTTGAACAGCGGCTCGACGATGCTGTTTTCTCCCTTAGCAGCGGAGTGGATTGGGGAGTGGGGTGCGGATTTGCCCCACACCACCAGTTGGGAGGGCTTGATTAGGCTGGAATTGAGTGACAACTACAGTTGTAAACGGCCTGGCAGTGGACACATGACAACTCACCAATCCTCGTGGCTGCTCCGGCAAGCTGTGTTCCCTTCATTTCACTGTGTAATTAGATCACATGTTCTTGAAATCACATGTTCTTTGAAAGGTCACCTCTCTAAACTGGAGATCCTTGGAGGGCCCCTCCCCTATTTCCAGCCCAGCCTGGTCGAAGCAAAACCATGCAAAACCATCCTCCTTCCCGTCCTTCCCCGACCCACACCTTTCCTCCACCTTTCCTCCAGCTCCACCTCCTTCTCTTCGCCGAACTCCTTCAGCCGATGCTGGCGCTCCCTGCTCCGCCCCCAGCTCCGGCCACGGGGCTGGGATGTCGCTGGGCGTGGTCCATTGAGGGTTCCATGGAGGATTCACTTCAGGGCCCGGCACCAGCAGCCTTGGCTCTGTCCGAAACAACGCGATGGAACGGAATGCTCCAGACCAGTGCAGGCTCTTCCAGCCCAAAATGACAAAGAACGAAACCACGAGCAAGTTTCAAGCATCTTACAGGAGGGCTGATGATCGAACACCGTGTTTTTGGAGATCAGAAGGCAAACTGTCACCAACCCTGCCCTGAGACCGGATTTCCTCGGATCAAAAAGAAGCTGCAAAGAAAAGAGCATCAACAAAAATAACCTTGATCATCTGGGAGTGTATTTTCATAGGGAGATCCCAACCAATGGGTTCCGGGTCTATTTCCCTGATTCAAGGGGGGCCTTTGGGAGGTCTCCCTGTTTGAATACACACCCATCTCAATGAAACAAGCACCAAGAAGCTGATGGTCGTCCAGCGCATCGTAGATCTCACCATACTTGTCCTTCGCCGCTCGACCCGATACAGACTGCTCAACCCGGTATGGCTCACCCCCGGTCCACATCTGACAAAGCACACACAAATATGGATATATAGTCATCGTCAAAGTATATATTTATATTATTTATATGATAATGGTGATTAAAAAAAATAGACCAATGGCCAACCCCAGTCGGTTCCGTGTTCTTGTTCCTTCCAGCAGCTGCCTCCTGTATATATCTATATATATATTAATATATAGAGACTTGTGCGTGGTACAGTACGCAGTAGATGATCAAGGAACAATGCCATGTAGATCAATGCTCGCGTATCCGATACCTTCACCACGCAAATCAGGGAAGATTCATGAAAACTATAAACCCCCGCACGGCCATGTATATATACACATCAAGTAACATTGATCGTCAACCTCTAGAATCTTCAATCATTTTCAATCCGTTGGTGGCGTGGGATTCACGCTTACTTGCAGCCATCGCCGCTTAAACATCTTAAACCAGGCACAGAACTCTTGGCATCAAACCGATTCGTTCCCAAGGAACCCTTCAAACTTGGCCATTGAGTCATTGAGTCCTTGAGTCAGCCGGGGGGGTTCACCTCCCCACATGCCCCCATCAGCACCTCCCCATTCTTGGAAATTAGAAGAACCATCCGCAGCTTGGCGGCATCACTGATGTTGCACAAAAAGAGGTTGCAGCAACATCCACTGGGCGTCGGTCGAGTCCTCGGACCCACCCGTGGCGCAAGCGGCAGGACTCCGTGCGGCCGTCCGTTTCCGTGTGGTGTGTTACATGGAACGAGACGACCGGAAGCTTCCGCTCGAGGTGAGAGCGAATGGGGGATTTGGGGGAACACTATTTCCTAAGAAAGGTGGTCCACGCGACTGGAAGGGTCTTGGACCCCACGCGGTCCACGCGTTTGGTTGTCATGTCATGCGAACGACGGGCCGTGGATCTGCCCCGTCAGCCGACTGCCGGCAGCTTGGCGGATCTCAACCCATGTGAAAGAACCACGTCGACGTAAGCCTTTGACCTTACATGCACGGTTTGCCTTGGCAAGCCCTGAACGTTAAAAAATACAGTAACATGTCCACGAACATGAAAATTCCATGAACAAATCATGAACATCTACTTTGGGTAGATGATGGGTCAGGGGTTGGCTGTGATGTTTGTTTCTGAGACACCGAGTGCTGTAGCAAGCTCAAACACAGGAACAAGTTGTGGTGTTCCCTAAATAAAACCTAAGGAAACCGCTCCTTCTTTCAAGCCAAGCAAGTTGGCGGTAGTCTTTTTCCTATCATGTTCAACTGAATCATGCAACCACAGAGTATATATAAATATATCCGCCGACCCCTGCCGAGGGGGGAGCGCGCCCCGAGCGCAGGTCCGAGGACGAGGAGAAGAAGAGATTTTTACTGCCGTCAGAAAGCAACGTTTGGCACTGAGAGAGAAGCTCTGAGGATGAACTTTGAGTGGTTTTTGGGTGGAATTAGATTGTGGAATGCTGTGGCGGAGGAGACTGCCGGGAGCTCCGGGCGCAGGTCCTAGGACGAGGAGAAGAATAAGAGATTTTTATTGCCGTCAGACAGTAATGTTTGGAACTGAGAAAGCAGCTCCGAGGACGAATTTTGAGCCGTTTTTTGGGGTGGAATTAGATTGTGGAACGCTGTGTTTGCGGACCGTCAGCATCTATGAAAATATCTTGTAGTCAAAAATCTGACGCATGCCAAGATCTTTTCTGTTTCCCTGTAATATTTACCGGAGTCAGGGAAAAATCAAAACAAAACTCAGTAGAGGTGATTTTTGTGGGACACATGTCATTTTGCCCAGACCATACCAGTAACCGTACATTACGTCGGTTAAAGTGAAAACGTGCAAAGACCCTTCCCAAAAAAAATAGCGATTTGTCTTTTGCCAACGGGCAGACCTTATAACCAACACAGCAATATTTGCCTCAGGGAGGCCTTCCTTCCTGCTGCGGATGATCTCGAAACTTTTCCCTGCTTGTGTTGCAGTCGTGCACACATGCCATTGTATTGCAGTTGCACTAGCAAGTTCTGCCCCGGGGCTGCCTGTTGTAGTACACTAGTCGGTCCAAAATTCCCTACATCTGGGAGCAGTCGTTGGGACAGGGCATCGGGCTTGGGTTTTCCTCATCGGTTTCCAATGTTTGGTGAACTTCACTAACATACCGTATGTTTCCAAGCACGAGTATAGTCATGGACATGGCGAAGCAACGGACAGCAGAGCATACAACTATTCACAAGTTCAAGGACCTCACATATGCATCATATGCAGCTGCTAGTTCCTTTCTCTTGGGCATGTCATTTGAACCCTAAAATCTGCTCTCGAGTGGGCATGTCCCTTGATCGGGTGTCTGGAAGTCACTCCGCGGCATCGGTTAGGCATCGGTCTATACACGCTCGTGAAAAACAGAAAATTTGCCAGCAGTAGCAGTAGCAGTAGCAGTGGTAGTAGTAGTAGTAGTCGTCGTCGTCGTCGTCGGCGTCGGCGTCGTCGGCGTCGGCGTCGGCGTCGGCGTCGGCGTCGGCGTCGTCGTCGTCGTCAGGTAGCAGGTAGCAGGTAGTAGGTAGTAGGTCGTAGGTCGTAGGTAGTAGGTAGTTTATAGTATAGGTAGTAGGTAGTAGGTAGTAAGTAGTAAGTAGTAGGTAGTAGTAGGTAATAGTAGGTGGTAGTAGTAGTCGTAGTAGGAGTAGGAGTAGGAGTAGTAGTAGGAGGAGCAGGAGTAGGAGAAGGAGTAGTAGTAGTAGTAGCAGCAGTAGTAGTAGTAGAAGAGTAGTAGTATGTATTATGTATGATACAAAGGCATCGGTCTTGGGTTTTCCTCATCGGTTTTCAATGTATGCTCAATGTATGACCTACCGATGTAAAGCTTTTGGTTCCAAGATGTTCGGACGGATCTCATATCCGTTTTTTTCAAGGCGGATCATAGCATGTGGATCCTGACTGTTCCCCACCACCACGCAACCAACCATGGACCCGAGGGCCCCCTTGATTTTGCCACAACCGCTGACCAGTGCGGAACGAGCATCGCTCGGTCGAGGAGTTCCTGATATCCCGGCAGCTTGACCAGTTGACCATTCT